ACAATTTTTTTTTTTTCTGTGAGATTGTTATCAATTTATAGTTAGCTTAATTTGTTTAAGTTTTAGAGTCTGCTTTTCTTTTTGGTTTAAATTTTTGAAATATGGAAGTCATTTCGAATTTTTGAAATATGGAAGACATTTCAAGTTTTTGAAATATGGAAGTCATTTTATATGTAAAAGTATATTAAAAAGCTTATTAAAAAGTATATAAAAAAGCAGAAGTCTCTCTACTCATCATAGCCCTTCCATTATATAGGGGACTATCGCATTACTTTCTGGTTTATTCTTTGTTTCTTTTGCAAAAACAAGCAAATTCATTTGGGCATTCTTACTCCCGTTTTCTCACTTAAGGGATAGCGTATGATTTACACTTTTTGTACTTTGCTTTTTTTTTTTTTTAACTTAATATATCCTGGAAAGCATTCCATAGCAGTTTATTCAGCTCATTTTTATTCTTTTTTTTTTTTGAGACAGAGTTTCATTCTGTCACCCAGGCTGGAGTACAGCGGCACAATCTTGGCACACTGCAACCTCTGCCACCCGGGTTCAATTTATTCTCCCACCTCAGCCTCCTAAATAGTTGGGATTACAGCATGCTCAGCTAATTTTTGTATTTTTTTGGTAGAGATGGGGTTTTACCATGTTGTCTAGGCTGGTCTCAAACCCCTGACCTCAAGTGATCCTCCCGCTTCACTTCTGAAAGTGCCGGGATGGATTGCAGATGTGAGCCACCATGCCTGGCCTCTTCTTTACATCTGTATAATACTCTATTGTATGATATACCTTGTATATTCAAATAGTGACATTTAGGTTGCTTTCAGCATTTTGCTATTGCAAATAGTGTCGTGTTGAATAACGTGTGTGTTTGTCATTTCTTATATGTGGGTAAATGACTTAACAGGAGCAGGACTGTTAGGTGAAAAGGAAAATATATTCTTATTCTCTTATACAAAATGTGTAACATACAGACTGTTCTACATCTTGCTTTTTTTAACTACTAGTGTCTTTGGAGATTTTTCCATATCAGTACCAGAGAACCTCTTTCTCTTTTTAAAATCTTTAACAGCTGCAGAGCATTTTTAAAAATAGCTGCGGAACAGTCCATTGTATGACTGTACCATTGGTTTAATCGGTCTCAAACTGATTGTTTCTAATCCTTTGTTATTACAAACTGCCACAATTAACGCACCTGTGCGTGGGTATCATTTCCTGATTATTTCTTATTATATCCTTCTCTTTTCTTTTTGTGGTGGATGTTACTTTTTTTTTTTTTTTTTTAAGAGGCTGAGTGTGGCTCTGTCACCAGGCTGGAGTGCAGTGGCATGATCTCGGCTCACTGCAACCTCCACCTCCTGGGTTCAAGGGATTCTTCTGCCTCAGCCTCCTGAGTAGCTGGGACTACAGACATGTGCCACCATGCCTGGCTAATTTTTGGATTTTTAGTAGAGATAGGGTTTCATCATCTTGGCCAAACTAGTCTTGAACTCCTGACTTCATGATCTGCCTGCCTCAGCCTCCCAAAGTGCTGGGATTACAGGTGTGAGCCACCACACCCGACCCTTTACAAGGTTTTTATATCTGTATTTGATCCCATATCACAAAAAGGCCCAGAACATTGTAATTGCCCAAACTTTTAATTGGATCCAGAGGAATTTGACTGGAATGCCAGAAGTTCTTTGTGATTTTTTTTTTTCCATTCAGAGAGTCTTGCTCTGTTGCCCAGGCTGGAGTGCAGTGGTGCAATCATGGCTCACTATAGCCTCCACCTCCCAGACTCAAGAAATCCTCCCACTTCAGCCTCCTAAGGAACTGGGACTACAGGCGTGCACCATCGTGCCTGCCTAATTTTTTATTTTTTGTAGAGATGGAGTCTCACTATGTTGGCCAGACTGGTCTTGAACTACTGGACTTGAGTGATCCTCCTGCCTTGGCCTCCTGAAATGCTGGGATTACAGGTGTGAGCCACTACGTCCAGCCTGAAGTTTTTGTTTCAAAGCAAATATCTCATGGAAGTCTAACACACAGGAGAGTGCCCAAGTTGTATCTATGCTTGGAGAATGTTCAGAGTCCCTACCTCTGTGTATCCAGCACCCCGACTGGGAACAGGTGCCGGGCCCCCAGTCGCTGCCCCCCGAAGGGTAATACTATCTTGACTTCTAACACCATCGATGAGGCTTTCCTATTCCAAAACTTTAAGCAGACGTCTGCCCAGCTTTCCAACGTTGCATCGCCTTAGCACTTTCTTGTGGACCATTTTCTGCTGTTGACTGTATAAATGTCCACCAAAGTTATTGTTCTAACACGGTGATTGCCGCTTGTTTTCCCTGGCCTTAACTTGCCAATGATTACTTAGCATGGGTCAGTGAGGCCGCCCACTGAACTCCCAGGAGCAGAGCATGTTTGTATACTCCAGATACCTATAAGATGCCCCGGCCAGGTGTCCCCCAGTGGCTCAGACCCTGCAGGTCCATAGCACAGCTGTTTGTCCTTTCCTGGAACCTGCACCTTGTCTCACACAGGCTTGTCATGATGGGTCTCCGCCAACCACTCAGGGTTAAGTGGGCAGGGAGTCTTCTGATTGCTCCCTTTCCCCTACTCCCTGAAAACCCCCTTAAGACCCCTTCAAACTTGTCACCTGAGGGTCTCAGGAAGCACATCCTGCCCACCTCGTCTCTCTAGTCTCATCTGCTGTCCCCTCATTTGCACTCTGCTTTGACCGCAGTAGCTTTCTTTCCCTTATGATAGATGGCTCATGCCTATAATCCCAGCACTTTGGGAGTCCAAAGCGGGAGGACTGCTTGAGGCCAGGAATTTGAGACCAGCTGGACAACACAGCAAGACCTCCTCTGTACAAAATATTTAAAAATTAGCCTGGTAGCCTGTCCCTGTAGTCTAGCTGCTCGAGGCTGAGGCAGGAGGCTGGCTTGAGCCCAGGAGTGCCACTGCACTCCAGCCTGGGTGACAGAATCAGACCCTGTATAAGAAAAAAAAAGTGTGAAACTTCTTCCTAGTGAGGATCTGTCTCTGTATGATGCTTTCTCATCTGCCTGGAAGGCTGTTTTGCCCAGGGACCTCCTCTTGATTCTCCAGGTCTTTGCTACCACTTATATTTAATTTCCCTGAGGCTGGGTGCAGTGGCTCATGCCTGTAATCCTAGCACTTTGGGAGGCTGAGGCAGGTGGATTGCTTGAGCCTAGGAATTCAAATTAGTTTGGGCAATATGGCGAAACTCCATCTCTACAAAAAATATAAAAATTAGCTGGGCATGGTGGTGCTTGCCTGTAGTTCCAGCTACTCAGGAGGCTGAGCTTGGAGGATCACCTGAACCTGGGGAGGCTGAGGCTGCAGTGAGCTGGGATTGCACCACTGTGCTTCAGCCTGGACAACAGAGAGACCCCGTCTCAAAAAGAATTTTTTTTTTTAATTTAAGATGGGGTTTCAGCCGGGCGCAGTGGCTCAAGCCTGTAATCCCAGCACTTTGGGAGGCCGAGGCGGGTGGATCACGAGGTCGAGAGATCGAGACCATCCTGGTCAACATGGTGAAACCCCGTCTCTACTAAAAATACAAAAAATTAGCTGGGCATGGTGGCGCGTGCCTGTAATCCCAGCTACTCAGGAGGCTGAGGCAGGAGAATTGCCTGAACCCGGGAGACGGAGGTTGCGGTGAGCCGAGATCACGCCATTGCACTCCAGCCTGGGTAACAAGAGTGAAACTCCGTCTCAAAAAAAAAAAAAAAAAAAAAAGATGGGGTTTCACCATGTTGGTCAGGCTGGTCTTGAACGCCTGACCTCAGGTGATCCGCCTGCCTTGGCCTCCAAAGTGCTTGGATTACAGGCGTGAGTCACTGTGCCCAGCGAAAAAAAAATTTATTTATTTATTTATTTATTTATTTATTTTGAGATGGAGATTTGCTCTTGTTACCCAGGCTGGAGTGCAATGGCTCGATCTCGGCTCACCGCAACCTCCGCCTCCTGGGTTCAGGCAATTCTCCTGCCTCAGCCTCCCGAGTAGCTGGGATTACAGGCACGCGCCACCATGCCCAGCTAATTTTTTGTATTTTTAGTAGAGACGGGGTTTCACTATGTTGACCAGGATGGTCTCGATCTCTTGACCTCGTGATCCACCCGCCTCGGCCTCCCAAAGTGCTGGGATTACAGGTGTGAGACACCGCACTTTGGGAGGCCGAGGCAGGTGGATCACGAGGTCAAGAGATTGAGACAAGCCTGACCAACATGGTGAAACTCCGTCTCTACTAAAAATACAAAAAAATTAGCCGAATGTGGTAATGCATGCCTGTAATCCCCGCTACTTGGGAGGCTAGGCAGGAGAATCGCTTGAACCCAGGAGGCCGAGGTTGCAGTGAGCCAAGATCGAGCCATTTGTCTCCAGCCCAGGTGACAGAGAGAGACTCCATCTCAAAAAAAAAAAAAAAGTAATTTCCCTGACTCCCCGGACCAGATTAGATTGCCATAACATATGCTATATATGTTTTCAGCAGCTGTGCTTGCCTTCCGTATGATTTACTGCAGAGGTGATTGACTTTCATAGGGAGAGCAGGGACCAAATCTTTTTGCTCCTTCTCTCTCCCAGCACCATATAAGTGTCCTAATAACTGAACAAATGACCAAGGGCAAAAGGAGCGAAGGGAGTCCGGCCTGTGACCAAGGTCAGGGCTCCGTCTGCAACTCAAGGTCAAGGAATAGAATGTCACTTGGCTTTCCCTGTATGGGGCCCCCTCTCAGGTTCCTTTCCCACCCTTGGATGGGGTTTTTGGAGGGTGGATTTTGTGCCTTGAGACAGAGGGCAGGAGCAGCTGGGAAGATGTAGCTGGTGGAAGGATGGCTCTGGGAGGAGGGAGCTGTCTCCATTGTGTTCACGGCACCCTGGGAGTATATGCTGGGTCCGCCCTGGGGAGCTTGTAGCCCGGATGCGGCGTAGAGAGGAACTGGGGTGGGTGCAGCCCTGATCTCATCCTTCTCTGGCTTTTCTTTCCTTCCAGGTCAGGACAAAGAGTTGTGGGCAGGCTGTTGGGCCAGCTGGTACCATCATGGCAGGTAAGGAGAGGACCAGGCTGTGTGAATAGGACCTGACAGTGAGCATAGCCTGGGTGGCCCTCTTCTTGGTCCCTTTATCTCCCTTAGTCTTTGGAGGCCAGATTCTTTTCATCTCACTGTCCCCAGGCTTTCTCCACTCTCTCCACTGAGGCCTGGGTGGGGAAAGCAGAGTGGTCAGTGGCCACAGGAGCCAACGGGGCAGCACAGCCAGGGAAAGGATGGGCATCTTGGATTGTTGAGGGGAAGACTGGAAGGGATGCTATGCAATGTGTCTCATCCACAGAGAAAGTGAACAACTTCCCACCTTTGCCCAAATTCATCCCGCTGAAGCCATGTTTCTACCAAGACTTCGAGGCAGACATTCCTCCCCAGCATCTCAGCATGACCAAGCGCCTCTACTACCTCTGGATGTGTGAGTGCCATGGGATCGGGGTGGGCCAGGGTGGCTGGAGGAGTGGGGAAGACTGGGCCTGCTGGGCAGCGGGGTCGGGTACCCACAGGCCCAGCTGTCCTTCAGTCCCACTTGTAGCATTTGCATGGACCATAAGTCTTCTTCTCCCGGGCTCCCAGTAGGCTTCTTCTATGGGCCACCTCCCACACTGGGCCTCAGTTTCCCTCAGTCTCCCCCATCTGGGCCCCTTCCACCCTCCATTCACGGAGCATCTGGACAGGGGTCCCTCTCTGCAGTGTAATCACTGTCTTGCTTCCCTTTTCCCTTCCACTGGACTAACTTTCCAGGGAACCTCTGGGGATTGTCAGGACCTCAGGATTCTGGATTTGGAGAGGAATCCTTCCCTCAAAGCCTCATTTGTCTTGCTTTCTCTGGAAGATTGCTCAAAGAGAGGAGCCTTCAACTGGGAGTTGGGAGCTGTGGGATCAAGTTTGCCTGGTCATTCTGCTTCCCAGGCAGCAGTTTCCTCATTTGTGGAAAGAGACTATTAGGCTAGGTGTGGTGGCTCACGCCTGTAATCCCAGCACTTTGGGAGGCCAAGGTGGTGGACCACCTGAGAGGTCAGGAGTTCAAGACCAGCCTGGCTGAGATGATTAAACCTATCTCTACTAAAAATACAAAAATTAGCCAGGCTCGAGGCCGGGCGCGGTGGCTCAAGCCTGTAATCCCAGCATTTTGGGAGGCCGAGGTGGGTGGATCACGAGGTCAAGAGATCGAGACTATCCTGGTCAACATGGTGAAACCCTGTCTCTACTAAAAATACAAAAAAATAGCTGGGCATGGTAGCGCGTGCCTGTAATCCCAGCTACTCAGGAGGCTGAGGCAGGAGAATTGCCTGAACCCAGGAGGCGGAGGTTGCGGTGAGCCAAGATCGCACCATTGCACTCCAGCCTGGGTAACAAGAGCGAAACTCCGTCTCAAAGAAAAAAGAATTAGCCAGGCTTAGTGGCAGGCACCTGTAATTCCAGCTACTCAGGAGGCTGAGGCAGGAGAATCGCTTGAACCCAGGAGGCAGAGGCTGCAGTGAGTGAGATCGCACCACTGCACTCCAGCCTGGGCAACACAGCAAGACTCTGTCTCAAAAAAAAAAAAAAAATCAGTTTTAAAACTAAGCCTCTGGGAGATTTTGGGGCAATGAACAGGGATAGAGGAAATACAGCTGAGATGTATGGGAAGAAATGCCCACTCATTACGAGGGGCCCTGAGATGGGTGACAGGGTGGTTCGGCCAGACTTGTGGGGCACTCCATCTGACCTGGGCTCTGGGAACTCCATTCCTGGGAAGATCTCGTTCAGAAGCTGGATTTAAGGGCTATAAATACCTCCTTAAGTCCTCACTAGGCACCTGTCAGGTGCTTTACTCCCAAGGAAATGTATATAACCCTTAAGGTGCTTAAAGGTTCCACTCAAAAGACAGAACCACAGATGCCTGGCTGTTTGAGGTTATGTCTGAGCCTTCCTTCCTTCATTTATTCGGCAGGCCATTGTGGACTCAGCCTTGTTCTCAAGGCAGGGAGTGCTCTGATGTTAGATAATGATGTGCTGCACAGACCTGGGTGTGTGTTAGTGCCAGCATCACTTTTATCTGTAAATCTTTTGAGGTCCCTGCTGGCCATGACTCAGTGACACTGTGCCACCTAGTTCAGCTAGATATGTGGGGACAGAGGAGGGCGAGCCTCGGTCCTGCTCTTGGAGAACTTTTAATCTGGTTGATGGGCTGAGATTTATATCTGGGGAACCTTGAGAGTAGCCCAGGTCTGTAGGTCAGAGGGATGGGAGATGATGAGGTTGCCATAGCAAAGGAAGACTTATTTGAGGAGCTGGCATGAGAGTTATCTAAGAAATAGATTAGACAGCCGGACGCAGTGGCTCATGCCTGTAATCCCAGCACTTTGGGAGGCTGAGGTAGGTGGATCGCCTGAGGTCAGGAGTTCAAGACCGGCCTGGCCAACTTGACGAAAACCTATCTCTACTAAAAATACAAAAATTAGCCAGGAGTGGTGGCAGGTGCCTGTAATCCCAGCTCCTTGGGAGGCTGAGGCAGGAGAACCACTTGAACCTGAGAGGTGGAAGTTACAGTGAGCCAAGATTGCGTCATTGCACTCAAGCCTGGGTGACAGGATGAGATTCCATCTCAAAAAAAAAAAAAAAAGAGAGAGAGAGAGAAAAAAGAAATGGATTAAAGACTCAGATTCCAGCCACCAGTGCCTGCCCCATTTAAGTGCAAGGTAGATGGTACAATGGCTAGAAGAGATGTTTCCACCAGACCTTTTATTTTTCCCTTTCATGCCCCTACCTTGAAAGAGAAAGTGTAAGGTTGATTTCCCGTGTCTTGGGCTTGGTGATTGCTGTGGGTCTGGGAGGGTTGGGGTTGAAGCCGTTCTTAGAAGGACGAGAGCATTTCTACCACACTGAGGCTGTGGGGCCCTTCAAAGGGGCTTGCTGGGCAGAAGCTCTGGGTTCTGGAGGCTCTGCTCTCCAGATTTCTCAGGAGTGGGTGCTGGGGTGGGGGGCTGGTCTGAGCTCCCAGCTTGCTTTCTTACAGTCTTTACTTCCTGTGTGTGTGTGTGTATGTGTGTGTGTGTGTGTGTGTCTCACGTGTCTGTGTGTGTCTGTGGTTATGGGTTGTGGGTCTTCTGTGCGGGTGTGAATCTGTGAATGTGTCTGCGTCTCTCTGTGCTTGCCTGCGCTGTTGGCCTGGTTTGACTGCGTCTGTGTTGCATTACCGGTGTGCATGTGTCCCTGTCCGGGTGCTCATGTGTCTCTGTATGGGTCTGGGTGTCTGTCTCTGTGTGTGCATGTGCTCTCCTGGGCCTGCAGTGAACAGCGTCACGCTGGCCGTGAACCTGGTGGGCTGTCTCGCGTGGCTGATCGGAGGCGGGGGAGCCACCAACTTTGGCCTCGCCTTTCTCTGGCTCATCCTGTTCACACCCTGCTCCTACGTCTGCTGGTTTCGGCCCATTTACAAGGCCTTCAAGTAAGTGGTTGGCGCTAACCGCAGTGCCTGGCCGTCTCTGCCATCTCTCCTGTCTCTTCTCCATATCTTTTCTCACTTCTTTTTTTCTGGCCTCCCCCAAACTCACTTTCCCTTGTTCACTTTTGGCTGAGATTGCTAGGTAGGGATTGGGCTTTCTGTGAGTGCCAGGTTGAGGTGAGAGGGCTGGGAGTTGGTTCCTTTCCTCCTCACTCTACCCTTGGGTGGGGGAAATAGCGAGAGACCAGGCCTATTTTTAGTTCTGTCATCACCTTCCTTGGGCAGCTGCATGTTAATTTTGCCTGTGGGGCTACCTGTTTTAGTGGGGCTGCCCATCCTAGTGCCAGTGGGGCTAGCTGACTTGGTGCCAAGGACACCATCTATCCATGTGCCAATGGAACCAGCCAGCCATGTACCATTGACACTGTTCATGTGCAGTGAGGTCATCCAACTCCGTGCCAAATGAACACCTATCCATGTTGCAGTGGGGCTTGCTGTCTTGATGCCAGTGGGTATTCACCTAGTGCCAAATGGCATTTTCAATCTTTGTGCCAATGTGACTATTCATCAGTGCACCAAGGCTATCTGACTTGGTGCCAGTAGAATATCCATCTCAATGCTAATGGGGCCTTAAATCTCTTTGTGACAATCAGGCCATCCATTGAGTGCCAATTTGCTGCTATTTTGGTGCCAAATAGAGTGTCCATTCTAGTGCCAATGAGACTTTCTATATCTGAGCCCATGGGACCATCTATTCATGTCATCCCGTGACAATGAGACTGTTTATTCCTGCCTCAATGGAGCCATCTATTTCTATGGCAATGAGGCCTTCCATCCATGTAGCAGTGGGTGGTCTGTTTCTGAGGAAATCCCCTCCCTGTGTAATGTCGCAATGCATAGGCCTACCACGTGGAAACTTGCAAAGATACATGGGTAAAACAACCCTGTTCTGACCTCTCAATTAAGGCCTTTAAATGTCTTCTGTCCATTCTGCACTTAAACTTGGAGGGGCTTGGGGGACTTGAAGGCAGAGAAGCCCTGGCTCTCTGCCCAGGTGACAGGGGCCACCTCCTCTGCCGCAGGACTGACAGCTCCTTCAGTTTCATGGCATTCTTCTTCACCTTCATGGCTCAGCTGGTCATCAGCATCATCCAGGCCGTGGGCATTCCAGGCTGGGGCGTCTGGTAAGAGGCAGGGGTGTGGCCTGGGGCTGGAAGGGGTGGCACCATGGGTATGTCTTTTGCCTACTTTTGCGTGCTAAGCTGCCAAGCCTATGGGGCCTGAGTGACTGGTCATTGTAGTAGCACAGCCATAGCATCAGAGGAAAGGAGAAGCTGGCAGTGGTTTTTGGGGGGCTGAGGGGTGTCAAGCATTATGGGAAAACCTGGGGGAAGGAAGTGTTGTGTCTGAGGAACACCTCTGAGCCACAGGGAAGGCGTCGTCTTGAGCCACCGACACAGGCCCTTTGGATATCAGTATGATGGTCCCTCTGCAGCCAGTGATATTTCCCCCCGTGGCAATGAGACAGTCCCTTCCTCTGGCAGGGGCTCCTGGGCACCGCTCACCCTGCCTGCAGCCCCACACTGGCCTCTTCCTACAGCGGCTGGATTGCTACCATCTCCTTCTTCGGAACGAACGTTGGCTCAGCGGTGGTCATGCTCATTCCCACTGTCATGTTCACGGTGATGGCCGTCTTTTCCTTCATCGCTCTCAGCATGGTACGTGGTCCCCGCAAGGGTGAGAAGGTGGCTTTGGGAAGGGGCCGTGATCTGAAACAAGCCCTCCTCCAAGTTACAAGAGGACCCTGAGGTCTTCCAAGGGACTCCCTCTGGAGCGGCCCGCAGGACTGTCCTACAGAGGCAGGCATGGGATGGAGTACGGCTTTTTTGCAGTTGGGTCCCATCTATTTCTGGATGGGCTGCCGTTCCTCTTTGATTAACCCTTCTTTATGCTCCTTTCCCTACAGGTTCATAAATTTTACCGGGGAAGTGGGGGGAGTTTCAGCAAAGCTCAGGAGGAGTGGACCACAGGGGCATGGAAGAACCCACACGTGCAGCAGGCAGCCCAGAATGCAGCCATGGGGGCGGCCCAGGGTGCCATGAATCAGCCTCAGACTCAGTATTCTGCTACCCCCAACTACACGCACTCCAACGAAATGTGAACCAGCCACGCCTACGAGGTGGCAGGGCTGGGGCCATTGGGACAGGGGGCTCAAGCCACATAGTCATTTGTGGTGACCAAGCAGGGTTCCCCCTTCCCTTTCCCCTCCCCCAATTTGTACAAAGGACCAGAATTATATATATGTATATGTATGTATATGTCTGTCCCCCGGCCCCCACCTTTCGGATCCTGCTCTTGGCACTCAGAGCTGTGGGCTGCGCGTGGAGCCGTCCCGTGCAGTCGTAGCTGTGTCTGTGTCCTCTCGTGAAATAGTGTGCAGTGGAGGTCTCTTGTTGTGGTGCTAGATGTATGTTTAGAGCTAAACCAGCCCCCGCACCTTCCACCTGGCCCTCCTGCCCCTGGCCCAGGGACCCCTCACAGGGTCAGGGGAGGCATAGCAGAAAGACTGGCCCCTTCCTAGGGTTATGAGCTGGACCTGTTTCTGCTTTTGGTCTTCCCAGGAAGCAACCGTAGTTAGCACTGGTGGTGGTGGCTGGGAGGCTGGGCACAGGCCCGGGATATTACCTTGCTCTTCTCACCCGTCCAAGCCTTTCCTTCCTCAGCCTCTGCCTCCCTCGTCTGTTCCCTGACGTCATTCCCTTGCCCGGGGCCCGTCTGTCTCCTTCCCACGTGGCTTTTCTTTGTCTTCCCCAAGGCTCAGCATCCCAGTTTTATCTGCTCCTGAGACTGAGCCCAGATCCCCAAATCTGATCTGATTTCTGGTTCAAGGAAGCTGGTGGGGGAGCTGGGCCTTACCCCGATGTAGGAGGAGCACATAGCTGGGGGTGCAGAGCCCACCTGGGTACCTGACCCCCAGGGGATGGAAATGCAGGTGAGTCTCCTTGGGTCTGAGAGTTTGGTCTTCAGGGGCACGTTCCTCCTTTCTCTCCCTGCCTTCTCCTCCTCTTCTCCCCAGAGCCCCCTTGAGCCCCTCTGCCTATGTCCCTCTGCCTCCTCTCCATGCCCCCAGCTGCTGTGGCTTGACGGCTTGATTCTCCTACCCTCACCCCACCATGTGCCAGGTGGCATCTGCCTTACTGCCTTCCCTGAGGAGTTGGGTCATGCCGGCCAGTTGTCAGGTGTAAAGGCACAGCTAGAGCAGAGGGCATGTCGGTCATGATTGGTCCCTGGGGGAGGTGTGGCTGGCTCCAGCACACTGGAGCATCTAGGTATCTCTCAGTGACTGTGGATTCCTGGGAGCGGCAGCTGTTCTGTTTGAATCTGGTAGAAGGGACAGGGCTCCGTGGACTAGGCCCGGAGGGAAGGTCAGCGGATAAGGCAGGCAGGGCCCAGTGAGGGAAGCACGCCTTCCCCTACTCTGGCTTGCTCGTGGTCACAGGGCAGTTCTGGGCACTTGAACTCAGGTCCCAGCAGAAGCACAGGCCCGGTCCTCGGTGCAAGCACAATGGCCTGACTGGGATTTCCGGTTAGGCCGGGTGGGAGGGGAGGCTCTCTGGCTTTAGTTTTGTTTTCCAAATCAAGGTAACTTGCTCCCCTCTGCCTGCAGACCTCGGCTCTTGGCTTGTCCTCACCCAGTCGGAACTCCCTACCCCTTTCAGGAGAGCGGTTTTAGGTCCATGGGGCTGTTGTGTTCCAAGTGGGGTGAGAACATGGATGGTGGAGGCTTCAGCTATGTGTGGGGCCCGAAGGGGAGCGGGCTCTCACGCAAAGAGCATCTGCCCGTTTCCCACCGCCCCTTCTCCCAACAGAAGCCTGCCTGGGCTGTTTGGACAAAAATCCAAACCCCACTTGGCTACTCTGGCCTGGCTTCAGCTTGGAACCCAACACCTAGGGCTTCCAGGCTAACCTGAGCCAGGGGTCTCTGGTAGTTCTCCTGATGGTCCTTTAGGCTTGGGCCACAACAGATGATTGGCTCTCCCTCCTCTCTGGTACCTGAAGAGGGACCCTAGGTCTAGGCTCTTCTTCCCCCTCCCTTCCTTTCCCCTACCCCAGACCTGTGGCTCCCTTTCCCTTCTCTCTCTGGTAGCTCCAGGAGGCTTGTGGTCCAGCTCCCTGCCTAGCACTCATGACCTGTTGGATGTTATCGCCAATTGATCTCCTGTCCTATCTGCCTCTTTGGCTCAGACCTATATAGCCACACCCTGGCTCTACCCTTGGGAAAGACAGATCCCAGTGTGTGGCCCAGCTTGTTCAGGCCCTGGGATGCTGCATCTCCAGGCAACTATGCACTTTCCCAGGGAGGGAACCAGTCTGAGAAGTTGGGGCAGGGCACACATTCATCTCTGCAGGAAGGTCTGGCCTGGGGTGGGGTGGAGGAGGGCCCAGGTCCGTTCTGGGGTCCCAGTGACCTGCTTTGCCATTCTCCTGGTGCCACTGCTGCTCCCTATTTCTGGAGATGGACGTTCCCCAGCTGGCAGTTGAGCTGCCTGAGCCAATGTGTCTCTTTGGTAACTGAGTGAACAATAATAAAGGGGAACATTTGGCCCTGTGTGTTCTGCTGTGTCACGTGTCTTCCTGTGGGTTTGCATGGAGCCTCATGGCAGGGTGTGGGGCAGGGGCATGAAGGTGTGGGGGCTGCGTGGGTCTGTGGTCTGTCATTCCCCGGGACCTACAGCCATGCGACCCTGTGTGGCTCTTTCTCTGAGGCAGCCTTGAGTAGACGATGAAATTGCCACCAAGGCCCCTGCCTTGGGAAGAGGAAGTGGAATAAACAGGCTGGATCCCTGGGTGAGGGATGGTTTGGCCCAGATGGTCCACTGTGGCCAAGGGCAGGGGTAGAGCAGAGGCCCCACCTCAGTGCAGGGCAGGGACCCGCAGCTGGTTCAGCCACCTCAATGAACACAGGTTTCTGGGGCCTGTGAAGGCTAGAAAATGAAGGGGACAGGGAAGCATGCCCAGTGTTCATTCTGCCATCTTCCCTTCGCCCATACAATGCCCTCCACCTGGATTGCTATTGGGATCCTCTGTCTAAGCTCCTACCTGTCCTTCAAGATTCACCTCAAGCCACTCTTTTGAGAAGGCTTTCCTAGGCCGGGTGTGGTGGCTCAAACGCCTGTAATCCCAGCACTTTGGGAGGCTGAGGAGGGTGGATCACGAGGTCAGAAGTTGAAGACCAGCCTGGCCAAGACAGTGAAACCCCGTCTCTACAAAAAACTATAAAAATTAGCTGGGCCCGGTGGCAGGCGCCTGTAATCCCAGTTACTCAGAAGGCTGAGGCAGGAGAATCACTTGAACGTGGGTGGCAGAGGTTGCAATGAGCTGAGATCGCGCCATTGCACACTCCAGCCTGGGCCACAGATCGAGACTCCGTCTGAAAAAAAAAAAAAAAAAATTGAAGGCTTTCCTGCCTGGAGGTGTTGCTTCCTCATAGAGGACCTTACCCTGTCATTTTCTGTGTCCCTGTTTGTCTCAAGAACAGGGACACATCTGAGTTATCTCTGTATGCTGTGCACCTACAGAAGAGGCTTGGTAAATATTCACTATTAAGTGCCCCAAGCTCTCTTTTACTGAGGACCAGTTAACATGGGCCCTCGTCACACTAACACCATGAAGATGGCCCTTTTCTATACTTCTATACATAAAAAAGTACCACATGCACCTGGGCAGCAACTTACACATGAACAAGCACGTGTGCGAGGAGGCCACCATTATTACCAGCAGAAAGCTCCCAGGGCCAGTCGCAGAGGCTCACACCTGTCATCTCAGCACTTTGCGGGGCTAAGGTGGATGGATTGCTTGAGCCCAGGAGTTTGAGACTGGCCTGGGCTATATAGTGAGACCCTGTCTCCACAAAAATTACAAACAATACAGTGGCTCACGCCTGTAATCCCAGCACTTTGGGAGGCCAAGGTGGGCAGATCATGAAGTCAGCAGTTTGAGACCAGCCTGACCAACGTGGTGAAACCCCAGCTCTACTAAAAACACAAAAATTAGCCGGGCATGGTGACATGCACCTGTAATCCCAGCTACTCAGGAGACTGAGGTAGGAGAATCGCTTGAACCCAGGAGGTGAAGGTTGCAGTGAGCCGAGATCAAGCCACTGCACTCCAGCTTGGGCAACAGAGTGAGACTTCATCTCAAACAAACAAACAAACAAAAAACCACTAGCCTGGCATGATGGCACACACCTGTAGTCCCAGCTACTCGGTAGGCTGAGGTAGGAGGATGGCTCGAGCCCAAAAGGTGGCGGTTGCAGTGAGTGGAGATCAGGCCACTGCATTCTAGTCTGGGTGACAGAGCCAGATCCTGTCTCAAAAAGAAAACAAAAACCAAAAAACAAAAAAACCTCCCCACAACAAGATAGCAGGCTACAATATGTATATGATGAAGCTGATTTGAAGGGCCCGGTGAGAGGTATCTCCAAGTTGCAGGAGAAGAAAGAAAGGAGAGAGAATTATGTTCTTGAGGTCTCAGCCCTGGATCAGGAGATCTTTGAAGTTTTTTTTTTTTTTTTTTTTTAAGACAGGGTTTCACCATGTTAGTCAGGCTGATCTTGAACTCCCGACCTCAGGTGATCTGCCTGCCTTGGCCTCCAAAGTGCTTGGATTACAGGCGTGAGCCACCACGCCCGGCCGATCATTGAAGTATTAATAGATCCTGACATTAAGGAAATGCGGACGTTTTTGGACTTTGGCAGTCTGTCCAATCTGCAGGTCACTCAGCCAACAGTGGGGACGAATTTCAAAACACCACGTGGAGCTGTCTGAATCTTTTCGAGATGCTGTAATATTATCAATAAACCTGAGACGACAGGAAAAAAAAAAAAAAAAAGGCCCCAAACAACGAGCAGCGTATGTGGGGCGGAGAGGAGTGAGGAGGTCGGACAGTTAGGCCAGTCCCTGTGGAGTCCCAGCAATACAAAGAAGAGAGAGCCAGGATTTGCTCCAGGAGTTCCCCAGTGGACTACAACTCCCGGAAGGCAGGGAAGTGGACTACAACTCCCAGAAGGCTGCGCGACACGCAGCCCGCCCGGTGCTCTCGTGAGACAGGCCAGTTGGAGTCCACGGGAGGGACCGCCGAGATACCGCGATATTTGGGGGCGACCTCGAGACGTGCCTGGCGCGGGTGAGCAGATGAAGGGGGTTGGGAAGCTGGGTGCCCGCTGCGGCCCGCGGGGGGAGGCTCTGAGAGCTCTGCTTGCGACACTGGGTCCTCTGCTGTCTGTGTGTGTGTGTCCTCCCTTTCCCCTCTGTGCCCGTAAAGCTCTGCTTGGCGGCTGTGCATCTGTGCGACCTCACTTTCCCAGCAGTACGGGTGGGGCCGCCGGGAGCAGGAGGGACCCCCGAGCCCGGGAGTGGAGGGTTTGCACCTGTTCCCGCCCGGCCCGGCTTTCTGCTGCCTTGCGGTTATTTGTCCAGGGTCGTTTAATCTAGTTTAAATGATGGCCGTGTCAGCTCCTCACGCTTAGCGCTTACCCGGGCTGCCCAAAGTACAAAGTGTATTTAAAAAGTTGATGAAATAGAAAAAGGAAAGCCGTGGGATGTTGGAAGTATCCCTAGGCCTGCCAAAAAGTGCTGAATGGCATTTAAAAATTAGGCCAAATTTTGTCAGAAAAGAACTTCCTGCTGTCTTTGACGTATTTGGAAGCAGGTGCTAGATGGTGAGCAGGAGAGGTTCCCAAGTTGAATGGTGGGTGTCTTGGAGCGGGGTTTCCACATCTCTCACAGTGGCTGGAAAGTAGCCGTACGCAGTCACTGCCTCCAGTAGCTCACCTGTGTGAGTGTGTGCGTTAGGTACATTCATTCCTCACTATCCGCAGGGGATTGCAATATATATATATATATAGTTTTGTTTTGTTTTTTTGAGACAGGCTCTCATTCTGTGACCCAGGCTGGAGTGCAATGGCAGGAACATGGCTCACTGCAGCCTTGAACTCCTGGGCTCAACGGATTCTCCTGCCTCCCGTGTAGCTGGAACCAGGGTCGTTTAATCTAGTTTAAATGATGGCCGTTTCAGCTCCTCAGGCTTAGCGCTTACCGGCTAATTTTTTTTTTTTTTGTAGAGACAGGGTCTCACCATGTTGTCCAGGCTGATCTCGAACTCCTGGGCTCAAGCAATTCTCCTTCCTCGGCCTCCCAAAGTGCTGGGATTACTGGCGTGAGCCACCGCATCAGCCCTCCGTATACTCTTTTTGAGTCAGGGTCTCACTCTGTCGCCCAGGCTGGATTGTAGTGGTGCAATCATAGCTCACTGCAACGTCGAACTCCCTGGGCTCAGATGATCCTCCCACCTCAGCCTCCCAGGTAGCTGGGACTGCAGGCACGTGCACCACTCCCCTCTGTGTACTTTAAATCATCTCTAGATTTACTTATAAACCCTGATTCAGTGTAAATGCTATGTAAATAGTTACACACTTTTTAATTGTAATACTATTATTTTTTGAGACGGTCTCTCTCTGTCATCCAGGCTGGAGTGCAGTGGCACAAACGTGGCTCACAGCAGCCTTCTAGGCTCAAGTGATCCTCCTGTCTCAGCCTCCCAAGTAGTTGAGACCACAGGTGTGTGCCACCACACCTGGGCACTTTGAATTTTTTTGTAGAGCTGGGGTCTTGCCATGTTGCCCAGTCTGGTCTTGAGTGCCTGGGCTGAAGCAGTCTTTCCACTTTGGCCTCCTGAATTGCTGGGATTACAGGTGTAAACTGGAGCAGAAGCAGGGCGGCCCGTAGCAAGGGGCTTTGATGTTAGGCTAAGGATTTAGGGTCATAGTGGATCTTGGATCGCCGCCTACCCACCTCCCACGTCCCTTCTTTGCTTCTGTTTTGTCTTAGGCTCAGTTCTCATCCTTCCTGTGTTGAGCTTGAGCTTGTATCCTGTCTGGCCTTGCTCCCGTCTTTAGCCCTGGTTCTGCCCCAGCTCCACCTTTGCCCATATAGGGACTTGCAGGTATCCCTGAAACTTAAAACTCTACCCTGAATTAAACTCATCAGAGGAGACTGAAACATCACGAGCCGAGGCTTTTTGCTCTGTCTGTCCCTGTCTAAAGGACAGAGAAGCTGCCATGTTTCTGGCTGTGGCTTACCTGCATGTTTGGTGCCCTGGGATCTTGAGGCTCCGGTTAATCACACCCTGTAGCCCTATAACCTGCCTGCTTGCCAAGTCTTTGCTACTCAGGAGTCCTGTGAGGTACTGTCTGCAGCTACCCTTGCTTTGCAAATAGGTGACTCCAACAGGGTCTGGTTACAGTAATAGACTTACTGGTTTAGAATTTGATCCTCTTTGCAAGCAAACAAAGGAATCCTGCCACCTGTCAGTCTTCCTGGGATTCTCAGATTGAACTGATTTGACCTCGCCTTCAAATGTTGGTTAAATGATCCACCCTTTATTCCTCAATTATATTACACACACACACACACACACATACCCTCTTTTTTAGGAAGATAGGTAGGTTTGGTCCTTAGCACAGCTTTGCTAAGCAGGCTAAGTATTGTATTTTGGACTGTAGTGTCTGCTGTGGGGAAGCAGCTGAAATCACTGATACAGATTCCTGCCCC